CTGTCCCCGTCGTTGTTTACACAAAAGCAATCATACGCCATGTTGTACGCCGAGTTCGTCGCTTCACTGTCAACAATGCGCGTGGCGCGTTCAACAGCTTCAAAAGCATAAGATCTTCTTCTTTTGCTCATGCCACACAGCTCGTCATTGTGCTGAAGTTTCCATTAATTAGATAAAAGTTTTGACTTCCTTCCACCCACTCGCCCATCGCCCCTTACGCCGCCTTCTCGCACTGGATAACATTGTTAATGTTGCAACAAACGAGCTGCAAATTATTTGCACACAACAAAAGTCACAAAAAGTTGCCAAACCACGCACACACACTCACACACTCACACACTCACACACATGAATGAAGTCTCTTAGAATGTTATGCGTTATGGATGGATAGTTAAGGCATTTTGTCTATCTGTTGAACTGCATTGCAATTAATACCAATTTGATATTTAATTAAGTACTGAGCTCGTTAACAAGCTATACAATTACCCCAGGCACTTCCGACCCAAAAATAAAAAGGTTGCCTCATCAAGACAACGAAAAAAATTTCCCATTAATTGAAATCTAACTTAAAAATTTGTATTACACTTGCAGCTTACAACACTGGCTGGCCTCTAAAAAGGGGTGCTAATTGGCAGAAAGAAGTAATAAAATAAAATACTCTGAAAGATGAATGGAACGAATGAATATAATTTGTATACAAATACAAAAAAAAAAAAATATATATATATATATAATATATATATATTATTGTATATAAAATTAAATTGTATTTGAAAATAAATTTATGAAAATAAGATGTGATTTTTCTTTATTTATTTTTTTATTTTACTTGCTTTTTTTAAATATTTAATGAGGTGCTCAAATGTATTTCAATGCCTAAATATTAATGACCGCTATATAGTATTTTTCTTCTATTCACTCTTTTAATCTCCCCTCAAAGAGCTGCCACTGCCATGCATCTCATGCCCATCGCCCAAATTGAAGGCCTGATCAGTTCTGTGCCAAGAACAAATATGCCAACACACAAAATAATTAACCCGAGTTTTTTTTTCCTTCTTTTTTTTTTTTTGGGTTGTTGCTACTTTCCATTGCCACTTACCTAATCAAGCTGGAAAGGTGAGCTAGAAGAAAAAGCAAAAACCGGAAACGCCGTAAAATGAAAAAGAAGACGCAAAAGGTTGAAGTAGATGTGGCTGAAGAGCCACGCCAATCAAATTAAAAAGGGACCAGTAGCACATCAAGTAGACATGCTTAGCATAGATAAGAACAACAACAACAACAACAACAACAGGCATACGAAAAAGAAAGAAATATACTTACAAAAGGAAAGCAAGAGAAAATTGTTGGTGTTCATAAAACATGAGTTATCTGTGTGTAGGTCCGCAGCGGAAGATGAATTTTTAATTTGTGATGCTGCTTCCCGTTTTAATTGTTGTTGACAGACGACTGACTGACAGCGTAATTTACAATCCTTTGCCCCGTCCCACGCCAGGCTAGCCTCTCCGCCCTCTACTAGCTCTCAGATGTGGTCTGTTTGGGGGTGAAATTTTAATTAAAGAAATTGCGGTTAATCCCGTTAGCAGCGCATGGGATGGAAAAAAAAATGAGAGAAATGTTTCAACATCTCTAAGAAGTTGGAGAAAGCGCCAAAGGCTGCTGTAATTTCTGTATTTTGTCGCTCCAACTGTGTGTAGTACACAACATTTTTTGCTAATTGTTAAAGCTCAGCTCAAAATCTCTCACAGACCCTCGGCCTATCCGTCTCTCTCAATCTACCCCAAAATTTAATATGAATACTTGTGTGTCACTTCAAAAGATCCAAAATGTTAACACCTTCTTTGGCAAAAGGTGGGCACGTGAATGAATTTGCTTTCATTTGCATGTTGTTAATGGGATTTATTACCATGGCTTGGAATAGCTTGCTATGGGGAGTATGATGCTAGCTGCACACGCTTCTACTCTTCTGCATATTTGTCAAAGAAATTGAAGTAATTGCATTTTATGCCATTTGAACATCAATTTGCATAAAAATTATAGCCTGTTGTATGCAGGAAATTCATTTTCAACACATACGCACATTGTATTCTAAGCGTTTAGAATTAATGCTCTAAGCGAAACGTAAAAGAGTTCTAAACAAACAGGCTTAACAAATAAGATTGGCTAAGGCAGGGAAAAATATTTAGGTTATCTTAAAACGTAATAAAAAATAAAAAAAAGGACAACTTAAGCTGTATTCGTGATTTCTTTTTTCTTGTTATAATATTTGTATTTAATTGAACAGAATAAAGCCTCATTATGCTTAGAGCATACTAATGTAACTTAATAGCTTTCTGTTATACGTTAACAGTGTCGCCTAAGGCAATTTTTACAGAAACAAGATCAATGCACTGCTTTCATTTGTACTGCTTGCCATCGTTTACTGCTTAAATTCATTTGTTTAACATTTGAATTTATCATTTAAATAAAAATGTAACAATTTTAGATATTATTTATATAACGAAATCATATATTTTTTTGTAGTAAGTTTTATGGAAATTCATGAATTACAACGTTAAGCACCGGTAAAATTGAAAAGTTAAAGCTTAACAGAATTGTGATTGCTGAGCCAATCAGCCATACAAAGTAAGAGGAGCATGTATGTGTGTGTATGCGTGTATGTTCTGGCCATGTTGTGGGACAACATGCTCGACACATATAAGAAATTAACTTAAAAAGTCATTTTGCTGGCAGACAGCGTCCTAAAGAGCCAGCGCGAAGGTGTTGTCGAGCTGAGCTGCAGCGGGAATGAGAAAAAAGGATTAATTGCATGAACAGCGACAGAGCGAGAGAAAGAGAGACAGAGAGATATAAAGGCACGAAGAGAGAGAGAGCGAGGCAAAGCAAGCGAAGCTGAAGGCATGACATCATCAGGATATCGCAATGGCAATGGCGCTGCCAACGCGCCGCATGAAGCACTGAGCACTGAATATCCTGGCTTTTCTATAAGCCATTGACTTGCACACATCTGCGTCCACATCCGCATCCTTTTGCTTGCGCACACAGAGCACAGCACACACACACAGATTGGCAGAGGCAGAGGCACAGACACGGCTGAAGGATGTGCGAGTCGCGCGCATGTGTGGAGTATTTTTTAATAGTGTTTCGTGTGCCTCTTGGCGTTAATTTATGCCACAAAATCATTTTCTTTTATACTCGCAGCCACATGCAAAATAAAAATTAAAACTGAAATATGAAAAAGGCAAAAATATAAATAAAAAAAGAAAAAAAAGACGCCATGAGAAAATAAAGGCAAACTACACGAGTTGCTTCGTACATGCAAATTGCGTTGCAGCGCCCGCGGCGATGAGACGCAGTTTATGTCAAGTGAAAAATGAGTGCGAACTATGACATGAAATATGAGCTCATCCCACCGCTCTCCAGCCCTGGTGCTCACTTCTATTAGAACGCTTTGAAATGTACTACAAGCACCCAAATAAAATCTGACAAAAACTTCGTGGAACTGCTTACCATATAGCTATATGATAGCCTCTAGGCAAAATTAAGCTGAAGAGCTTGAAGCTAATAAGTTTTTGCAGCACTAATGCAGTCCATTTGTTAAAGATCCATAGAGAGAAGAAACCTTTCAATGCGGAACGACATCAATGAAAATAGAAAATGGCAAAGAACAGATATCCTATCAAAAAATTCGAGACTGCTGATAATTACTTCCTAATTACACACTTTTCACATTTTACAACACTCCAACCAGTCTAAGGAGCTTCAATGTTAATTAGAAAGCGATAACTAACAGTAAACATGACATCGAACAATTTTCCAGGGTATGCCGCTCCAAGCTAACCATAAATTCTAGAGAATCGCAAATTATGGACGAAGATTAGCTCATAGCTTCAATCGAAATTCGAATCGAAACCGAAAACGTAAACAAAAACAGAAACAGATTATTAACGAACTGTATGACATAAGCGAACAGTCTGATAAGAGCGTCAATACAAAACATAGAATATACAATATATATGGAAAAGAGTAGTGTATATATTACTATTACGTGGTATTTTTCTTCATTCACTTTGTACAATGCATGCGAAGACATGAAGAAGAAAATAGACGCCAATTTGCAAAAGTTCAAATCGCAATTAAAAAGTTCGCAGTTGCCCCTCTCTCAGCCCGTACCCAAGAGAGACAAGTCAAAGTTACGTAATCTAAGACGCAGTTAGACGCTTTGACTCAATTGAAATAAGCCTATGTGTGTAGTAGAGATTCCATGATAATCTATACTATATAGCAAAGAATATATTGTAGTATGCATGCATGTATGTATGTATAAATAATATAAACACTAGGCTGAGTATACACTGCATGAGAGGCCTCAATGTCCACCAGACAAGGCCGCCGTTTCATGTTCAAAGCCATTTGTCGTTTTCACTGGCATCGTGGAAGGTTGCACAAATTGAGGAATTGCACTGTAAACGACGAGCCATGCGGGGTTATAGATAGTGACAGTACTACAAACGACCATGTGCATGGAATGCAAGTGATTTATTCTATAATTCAGATGGTGAACACATCTTTCTAGACTTTCAATGGGCATCTCTAGACATTTACTTTCCCCTACAAATTGGCAATTTATGAATTTATTTGTTTTGGAATGATAAGGGCTAATATGAATATAATATATATGAATATACATATATTATATTATGATAAAAGCTTATGCCTTCTATATAAACCATTTCTCTTTCTCTCTAATGATCACTCTTTCTTTCTCTTCATTGCTCCCTCTGCCGCTCTCTCTCTCACTCTATATATATATATATATCTCAATTTCTGTATCTTTTTATTTCCCTCTCTCTCGCTCTTGCGCTCTATCTCTATCTCTTCTACCAATCAAATCACTTCTATTGCCCATCTTTCTTAGTTTCCTTTCGCAACAAATTTAGCAAACGAGTGAAAGAGAATTGATCGAGATGATTAAACCCACATTCACTCAACGTGTGTTGCCTTGGCTCAATTCATTCAACTCACAAAAGTAAAAACTAGACATGTAGCAGCACGATTTCAATATATAATTCGCCCACTCAAATAATGCTCAACTAAAAATAACGACACGAAATAAATACAAAACTAAAAAATATTATTTAGAAACGAGTACGTGCGCACAACTAAAATATTATCTAGACACGGGTGCGTGCCTCTGTTGCCTGATAAATCTTGCGAGCATGAATGCTTAGCAAGGACGTTTATTTTTAAGTTTAAGAAATCATATATGTGTATATATATTTCAACAGATTTCAAATATCACTTGGAACACGTTTGGGGCATTGGAATATACGAGAATCAAAACTGATGTCAGCTTGAATCAGCGTTGAACTTGACATTGAAACCCAAATCGGTGAGATACGCTCTGAAGCATATAAAATAAAGTTATATATAAAATTTAAAAAAATATATATATTTATATATTTACTAACATATATAGTCAGAGATAACAATTTGGCTGATCGGAACCAGAGCTCCAGCCACACAACTGTACTGACACGTGACATTGTCGAAACGAAACACAAATATCAGCAGCATCATTATCATCATCATTATCAACATGCTGATCATGATTGCTACTGGAGAGATGGCTACCTTAATCCCGGAGAATGCTAAACTGATAAGAAGGCCCTGATTGACCTGGTGCTCAGCCTTCTGCATCTCTTTGAGAGGCTATGATTCAGCGCTTGCAGCAATGTGAGCCCTTACATAACCAGCGGCAAGATTACTTATGTGAGAGATATAAGAGAGGGAGAGAGAGCGTAATTGCGACACAATATATGATATGATATGATATGATATCAATAGAAACTATACACATATATTAAATATTTTCAGAGCATATTTAATTGCAGCCAGACCATATATATTCACTACACAAATTAGTCGTACGGTTATGACATACATAGTTCAGACCGTAATTGATACAATATACATACAGAGATATATTATATATATATATTAGTTTACATGTAAATAGATAGATTTCTGGGCATTATTGATTCTTGTACTCTAGATTGTAATCAAGATTAACATATAGGCTGCGAAATAGAAAGACTGATAGTATTTCCATATGTCCATTAATGTTTTCTTGTTGTTTTGTACCCCCTTCGAATACTGCTTTAGTTATGGGTGACCGTTATAAGTGATTTATATTATAATAAAAGATAATCTTATTTCAGTTGATAGCGCACGGGTTTCGAATTGTCGCAAAACTCTTCAGGATAGCATTTCTTATGGAAGCAAAAGCCACCATACTGTCTGCAGAGCTGTTGTGTTTTCGATACTGCAACGAAAGAAGGGACATATAACGCGGAAAGGACATATAACAATGACAGACAGCAGACGTTGATAGTTAGCATTTTGTTGTTTCGATAGAAAGTGAGGACAAAAAGTAATAACAATTTAACCCAAAATCATCGACTTTTTTTTTATTCAACTCTCAATAGAGCACAATTGCTTTAGACAGTTATTCTCGATACATATAAACAGTAAGTTTTTCCGAATATATCACTTGTCTAAATGTAAACAGCAAACTTTTCCACCGAATTCGCAATCGTTTGGTGGCTTTAATTGCGGGTTACCTCCACAATATTCGGCGCAAGAGCCATTGAATTTTTCGCAGATTTGAAATAGTGCTGCAATGGAGAGGCAACCTGAAATGGGGTGGGGAGCGACAATTACAGGTGACAGACAGTAGGGCAGGAAGTAACATGCAGCACACATAGGTGTCGATTATTGGTATTTGATTGTTGAAGGAGAGATAAAGATATATATACATATTAATGAAATAGATGAATGTGTAAAGTAATACTAGCTAAAGTCAATCATTATTATTATTATTTGGAATTCGCACTTACCCACGATGAATTGCAGCATCAATGCAACCAACAAGCAGAAGCCCCAAATATTTATTTTCTTCGACATATTCAATCCCTAGTTTGAGATCTGTATATTGGTTGGGGTTGAGCAGTAACGAGTAACGTAGCACTGACCAAGTCGAAAATTAAAATAAAACCCAAAGCAAGAATGCAACTCTTTTTATACACACCTCTTAATAGACCATAACTGCTTTAGACATAGCTGATTATCGAAAGACCTACAGCATATCGTTAAGAATCTACTTATCTACACCTCTAAATGGTCTCAATCTGCTTTAGATTTGCTTGACCGTAGTATAAAATTAAATCTAATGAATTGATAATTAAGTGCATATCATCATATTTATTTCAGGGTATCAAAATAGTTTTTCCACATTTGCTGCCCTATTGTTACTAAGCAAAATAACAACGAATTTCTCGTCATTACGGGCGAGAGTAGATTAGTCATTCTTATTATTATTTGGAAGTCATGGATAACTTTAAACGTTCATAGTTACTCTCGATACACAAACAAATTGCAGCATCAATACAGACACCAAACAGAAACCCAAAATATTAATACTCTTCGACATATAAGTCCTTAGTTTGAGATCTGTATATATGTATATTGGAAGCCGAAGCAAAATTGTTTTGCATGACACGTCAAACTTGGTATTTATTTATTTATTCTTGTTACTAAGCAGCATAACATTTCGAATGTATTCATTCATAAAAACAGCAAGTTTTTCCTACGACACTGCAATCGTTTGGTTTCTCTAATTGCGGTGCCAAACCGCAATGATCGGGTGGGACGCAATCGCCATGGAATTCTTTGCAGTTCAGTATCGCTGCAATGGAGAGGCAACCTGAAATGGGGTGGGGAGCGACAATTACAGGTGACAGACAGTAGGGCAGGAAGTAACATGCAGCACACATAGGTGTCGATTATTGGTATTTGATTGTTGAAGGAGAGATAAAGATATATATACATATTAATGAAATAGATGAATGTGTAAAGTAATACTAGCTAAAGTCAATCATTATTATTATTATTTGGAATTCGCACTTACCCACGATGAATTGCAGCATCAATGCAACCAACAAGCAGAAGCCCCAAATATTTATTTTCTTCGACATATTCAATCCCTAGTTTGAGATCTGTATATTGGTTGGGGTTGAGCAGTAACGAGTAACGTAGCACTGACCAAGTCGAAAATTAAAATAAAACCCAAAGCAAGAATGCAACTCTTTTTATACACACCTCTTAATAGACCATAACTGCTTTAGACATAGCTGATTATCGAAAGACCTACAGCATATCGTTAAGAATCTACTTATCTACACCTCTAAATGGTCTCAATCTGCTTTAGATTTGCTTGACCGTAGTATAAAATTAAATCTAATGAATTGATAATTAAGTGCATATCATCATATTTATTTCAGGGTATCAAAATAGTTTTTCCACATTTGCTGCCCTATTGTTACTAAGCAAAATAACAGCAAATTTTTCCGAACGCGTCGCATTCACTTGCTTTCTCTAGTCGTATTGCTTGACCTTATTAATTTTTGGAAGTTCACACTTACTCTCGATAAGCGCACAACACATTGCAGCATCAATGCAGCCACCAAGCAGAAAACCAAAATACTTATGCTCTTCTACATATTAAGTGCTTTGTTTGAGATCTGTATATTGATTGGATTGTATCGATTAACGCAATACTGACATATATTTCCATGGAAAACGGAGAAAGAATGTTTTGCAGAGCATATCAAACGTGCATCAAATGCAAATCTATTTATCTACACCTCTTAATATACCATAAATACACACTTAAGGGATAGCTGAACTGTAAATCGAATTTTAAACGTTTGAAAATATCAAAGGTCATCTTAAAATTATTAAAAATAATTCTAGCAAGCCATATCTGTCTCTAAAATAATTAAATAAATATTGTCATATAACGGCTAATTTTTTGATTTTTTTTTTTTTTTTGAATTATTAAATATTAGAAAATTATATTTTATAAATTTTAGTTTAATGTTAAATTTCTTTGTGACATATTTATATTGGTCCTTAGACATTTCATTCATTTGTTTACTCTAAAGAAAACAAGTCGAGACTGCTCGGCGCTCTGAACAACTGAACATCATATCCTTACATTCATATTCATTGGATCCAGGGTATAAGATTAAACTTTACGAAATAATATAAATGAGACACTTATTTTAGAAATATTTATTGAATACTACAAATTAAGTTGTATTTCGAGTCATAAAGAATATAATTCAATAAATTTCTACCGTTCTTCTAGTAGCTGACTGGCCTAAAAGCTAACGTCTAACGTAACACTGACCAAGTCCAGATATTCGAATAGAAGCCGTGGCAAGAATGTTTTGCATAACACGTGAAAATTGCATCAAATTCTAATCTATTTATCTGTATTTAAATATTTACAGTGTGTTTTATAACATTCTTAGACGTTTGATTGATTTGTTTACTTCACAGATCAAGAGCATTCATACGTTTTTACAAGAATAATATACCCTGTCTCCCCATTTTCATTGGATTCAGGGTATAAGATAAGCGTATATACGTAGATAGATACATACAAATGAGATACTTATTTTTAGTGATATTTATTTGGAATACCTTTATGACTCGCAATAAAAATTAATTTGTAGTATTCAATAAAGATAAATATTTCCCGTACTTCTAGTAGTTGACTGACCTAAAGACTTTTCCAAGCATCTATATTTTCAATGCCCTTTATTTGCTGTGTAATTGCAATAGAAACACAAGAGAAGTTGCAAAATTGATGATATACATATATACGTATTATATACAGAAGTATATAGTACTTCTCCACCGTTTGTAATGAATTTATTGTTACACCAAATCACAGCAATATCCGTTTTCACAGAATCCGGGTCTTCGAACTCCTTCACCGCACCACGGCATACAGACGGAATACTGTGCATTGCAATACTGTGCATTCCAGGAATCTGGAGTAACCAAATATCGGATGAATTTAAATCTATGCCAAGCAATCAAACAGAACAAATTCGATTTTACCATCTTCAGACACACAAAAATGCAGCATCAATGCAGCCACCAAGCAGAAAACCAAAATGCTCTTCGACATATTAAGTGCTTTGTTTGAGATCTGTAAGTTAGGTTGACTCGTCACAGCAACGCTTATGTTAACACTAACCAAGTCGAAAGATTCGAATAGAAAGCGAGGCTCTTGCCTGTTTGCCTAACACGTCAAACGTGCATCAAATGTAAACCTATTTATCTACACTTCTTAATAATGAAAGGTAGACCAAATCTCGAAGCGTTTCAAATATTATTGCAGCACTAACAAAATTATTATTATTATTATTTTTTTTTTTTTTTATTTAAATAAAAAGGCTTAGTCACTGCAAATTAAATTTTAAAAAAATTCATAATATTAATTTTTGTATGAAATAGAATACAAATATCATTTAACATATGTATATGTATATGTATATCTCCCGTTCTTCTAGCAGTTGACTGACTAACTTTGAGGCATTTCCAAGCATCTGATTTCAATAGAAGTAAATAAAAGTTGCAAAACGAATTGTTTTTAAATATTTACAGTGTGTGTTTTATTACAACAGTAGAAATATATTTTATATAAGAATAATTCGTACAATATATAAGTAAGAGTATTGTTAACTATAGTCTACAGTTGACAAATAATTTTGTAATGCATTTATTTGTTCATCAAAACACAGCAAACTTCTCCGTTTTCGCAGTCGGTTGCGGGTCTTTGAATTGATGGATTGCAGGACCTCATACAGGCGCCCAGGTGCTGCGCGCAGGGCGCTGGCCTCACCGGCACTGCAACGGTAGATGGAACATGGAACGGGGCGGGGCACATACAATGCATAACAATGACAATTACAGGTGAGAGACAGTAGAGGGAGGAGGTAGCACACAGCAGACATAGACGTCGATTGTTAGTATTTTATTGTTGTTGAAGGAAAGACAAAAAAATAAAAAAAAAAATAAAAAAAATCACAATAGATGAGTACATAAAGTAATACCAATTAAACTCAATAATTATTATTATTTGGAAATCAGTTTCAAGTGGGAATTTGGTTAGGAATTTCTATACGCATTTGGGTAAATAACTGAGAGATGTTAGGGCGTTAGAAGCAAGGCTCTATATGCATTTTAACAAATTCGTCCGAAGACTACTTACACTCGTAGCAACATTCAACGCCCAGGTGGGCGCTGGTGGGGCAGAGACCCTTGTTAGTGGTGGGCAGATTGCAGTCGCTGGTGTGCACACAGAGGCCTCCGACCAAAACACAGTGACGATCATTGGGATAAACACGCACACCCTGAATCACTGCAAGTTGGGGATGTACAGTGAATATTGGATGGATTTATGGCTACGTCAGGCATTCACACTTACTATATTCGGGTGTGCTATTGTCATTCACTTCGTTCGTCTCGATATCCGCACAAACAAATTGCAGCATCAAAGCTAACACCAGGCACAGGCCCAAAATATTTATGCTGTATGACATATTTAGTCTTATCTGTTATATATTAGTTTATATATATGTATATGTGTATATTGTATTGTCACTGCGTAAGTAATCCACACGTTGGCACGGTTTGCGTAGCACTGAGCGAGTCGAAATTCGTTCCAGATGCTTTTCAACAAAAAATGTTGTCGAATAGAAACCACGAAACGTTGTTTTGCACAACACGACGAACGAACGACAAATGAGGCAGCGGCAGAGGCTGAGGCTGAGGCTGAGGCTGGGGCAGTCAGAGAATCAGCCCGTCGATCACACAACAGACAACCAAACAAGCCAACGAGCCTACTGGAGAGCAGGGAGAGAGAGAGAGGAGCTGCCCAAGGGGCTGGCAGAGGGCACACCAGATAGTGCTGTATGCGGGCTCTCAGTTCAATTGGAGAGCGTGAGAGCCATTAATAATATTGGCGCGTTTGCAAACAACAAACAGCAGGAAAACCCAACGACGGGCGGCGCATGAAAGATCAACCGGCACTAGTTGCCAACACCAACACCAACACCAACGCCAACAATTGAGGCAAACACCAAACCCGAATCGAAAAACAAAAACAAAAACAAACCCAATGCAAATGAAAACATAATTCATTTGAGGAACTCACGCGCTCTGAAAAGCACGCCAATAACGTAATGAATGGGCCATCAAATATTTAGACTCAAGTAGTATTTATGAGTTCTTAATGTTTATTGAACAGCAGCCAGAACAGACAGTAGGCTCGACTAGAAGATACCCTTGAACTCGGGCTCAGATCTGTCAAGTTTCACAAGTTTATGAAGTTAATTAAATATACATATTATTTATATTGAAATTTACTAGATATAATATTTACTAAGGCACATTAAAATATTGTTTAAAAAAAGCTTTTTAAATATAAATCTTATACATAAAATGATCCACATGTTAAATTTCACCTATGAAATCCACACTCAATCCTCTCTGGGTTATATAATATACACAATCTTGTCTTTGTTTACAGGGTATTCGAGCAGCCAGGCAGACGGCGCCATCGAGTATCCACAGAGTAATCAAGAAGTACAACTTCTTTATGATTAACCGCATTTATCGAGGCGTAACGTGATTTAACTGCATTTAAAACCAAATGATCTGGTTACGATCTCCGCGTGTGTGCACGTGTGTGTATGTTTGTATGTGTATGAGATGTGCTTGTATGCTGATGTAGAAACAATCTGTAATTGTTATCAGCTCTCATGGATTTGGTGAGCGTGCCTGTGTTGTCTGGCCAAAGTTTTGTTCTTTTTGGGAATCGACAAAAATTCAATTTTAGCAAAATGTGCAAAAATTAAATATTAAAAATAAATTAAACTGAAGAAGCGGCTTCCATAAATTAGATCATGTGCACATCACGTGATGTTGTCCAATTGCCTGAACTCGCTGAAACAACTGTTAAAAGACATCGTTAATGAATGAATGAAGCTCTTGGCAATTACAACGCGACATGAATACCCTGGCACACATAAGACTATAAACTTGACAAGCCGACAAACTGACAAACTGATGATGTGCTCTACAGCAGTGCTCAACATAATCCTAATCAGATGGACCATGAAATTTGTATGTTATCTAGAACATTCATTGAAAATCCCCGACTACACTCATCGTCGCAACTGATAATATTTAACATTTAATGCTCAGCGTGTTTCGCTGTGCTTGCAAAACAAATAGAGAACAGCTTATTGATATTTATTGACATTATTATCGAGAAAATAATAACACATAACATATAATAAGGGGGAAATACAATTGAAGTACAGCTGAACAGCTGTGAAGCTCGAGATGATCTACTTGAGCTGTTCATAAACAATTTAATTTGTGTCAAGGCTATGAATGGATACAAATGGCTTAAAGCAGATCTACAGAAAAAGCTCTAAATCAATATACATTTTCATTGAAATTTATACAAGTACCACACAATATCTACATTATATGAATTAATTTTTAGTGCGAAGATTTTAAAAATTAATTGTGCTGGTGTGTGTCTTGGCTAAAATCTGCCTGCTATGCTTGCCAATGCTCAACAGCGTGCATTGCATGTTGTTTACTGCTTGGCCAGTGAAGCACTGCTTTGTAACAGCTTGGCTTTGCACTGCTTGTTAACCAGTTAATTCGCTTCATCTTTTTGTTTGTTATTATTAAATGTGAATCACTTTCCTGCAAAATCTGTGAGCAATTGCATACCTGTCCCAAATCAAATTAAATAAAGAATGCATTATGATCTTAAAAGATAATATATACTTTTTTTATTGAGTAACCTAGGTAAAAACATTATAATAAATGGACTACTGCAAAATATGTAAGGATATTCTGTCATTCAGTCTTCTGAAACAGTTACTAATATACATTGCTTAAGGCTAGAGTTTTACAATTGCTACAATACAATAAAGTTATTATAATACATGTTTTACACTGCACTACAAAATTGGCCGCATCGTTTTTTTGCTTATCGTTTATCCAAAACGAGGGCATTTTGAATGAGCACCAGGTAAATATCACAGAGATGTTAATTGCACAGCCCCAATGTGGACCGAGTGTGGCTTAAAGGCAAAGGCCCCGTCAATGCTCTGCCTTGGGCCGTTCATCAATTGTATAGATGCTGGCGGGTGGTGGCACTACAGGCGTCACATTCGGCTCATCATTCGCCTTATTCTCGCTGTTGAACGGTATAACAAAGATGCTCGGCTTGGCCGCATGCTGCATTTTGATAACCGTATCATAGCTGGGCGGTGCAAATTCACTGTACGACGGCGACGGCGTGGGTGGTGCACGCTGTGCCTCATTGGGCGTGGCATTCGATTGTCGACTACGCGTATCGCGGCATCGGCGATCCGAACAGGCCATCAGCATAAAGAAAGCACCCAAAGCCAGAAATGTAGCCACATACCAAACAATGGTAATCACATCCATTGCCGTCTGAGACAGTTCGTTGCTGGAGTCCACAACTGAAAAGAGAAGATAAATAAATCCTTAATGAAATGTATAAATTTAAATGTATAAAGCTGGCAAGTTCTAAAAATTGATTAACAATAGACCAAATTTGAAGCGACTTTCAATCTGTTTGATAAGCCAAGTTATATATAATTTATAAAGAAAAATTGCAACAAAAGCTGCAGTGTGTTTTACAATTCGAGTCTCTCTGTTGCTGAAATTCGTATTCATTTCCAAATATGTACATAAATAATTTGCACGTTTATGCTAAAAGTATTGCAGGCCTTAAATGTTTTTTAAATATTAGATTACAATAAATTTGTCATAGTTGACTGCTAGCGAAAATTCGCAATTATATGCGATAATAAGCAATGCTAAATCTAAAAATCTAAATCCAAAGTATTCTACTTAAAAATAAAAATATAAGAATTGAATAATATATAAATAATTGCTCATATTTTATAAAATATAGGACTTCAAGTAAATCAAAAATTACTGAATATAAATTTGCAATATATAACTAATATATAGAATATATAAATGTATCTATGTATATGTATCTCATTATTAGCTATTAAATTGTTGAGTAATATTTTTAAATAAAATTTAAAAAAATTGCAAAATGCCCGCAGTTAGCTGACTGTTAGTTATATAATTATTATTATTAGTAATTTTACTTCATGTTCCATAGAGCAAATAGATACCCATCAGCTGGCCTTTATCATGCTGACGTCGGTAAAAAACTGGACTGTGTGTCACAGACTAAATGACGCAAAAAAAAAAGTTAATGCACTGAAACAATCATTTGATATGAGCGCTAGTCGTGGGTCCACCTGGACTGAGAGTTGAACGGTTCTTTTTTTTTTTTTTGTATATTATCATAACCTGTTTATCGACTCGTTATTAAGTTGTAACATATGACTGTGAATTGGTAATAACGGGAAAACGTTCATTTATATTATTTAATGTATCTATTTGGCTTTGATTCATAGGAAAACATTTGAAATGAATCAAATATTGTATTTGTATAAAATTGGACTTGAACTGGAAACTGGATCCATGAAAGTCGAGGCATTGTGATCATATATTTTTAAGTGATTTTCATTTAATATTTAGATATTAATATTTAGTGTAAATAAACTCTTCGTGTTTACTTTAGATCTACATCATCTATGTATACTCTTTGATAAAGAGCATGCTTTCACATCATTTCAAGCTTATCTCTTCACATCACTCTGGGCATATCTTTTGAGATCACTTTACTTACTATTTTTATAGACAAATATCCGTGTGTTATTATCCACTTGTTCGGCAAACAGATCCGTTCCGCTGGTGCCGTTCCCACTGGTTAGATTGTATGGCAGTTGTCGTGTAAGTACGTTCTCCAAGGTGAGCAGATAGGACTGACCGTGTGTACCGCTCGCATAGACACTGAATACTGAAATGGCAGCCACAATAAATGTTATACTACGAAATGGCAATTGGTGATATGAAAAATTATTTTTACTACGCCCGATCGGCCAGATAAGCTATCAATGGGCATGGCTTGTTTAATATATGAATAAATATATATCCCTATAAAGCCCAAACACTTGACAACCGATAAAAAAAATAAAAATAATTGTCATGCTTCCCATTCATATACTATAATTAGGCAAATTTAGTATTTGTGAACTAAAATTAACGCATAATGAGCCGTAATTAGGCAATCTATTTTGGCCACATTTATAATCAGTTAGCGGATTACTGATAAGACCCGCAGTCGGCGTCGTTTAGTCTGCTAGGCACTACGCTTTAGGCACCTGTCGTATAAGTAGCACTCGACTTCAGGTTCAAAAATATCATAAACTTACATCAAATAAAAATACAAATAAAAAATAATTATTGTTGATTATTTTTACGCTTGTTTATGGCATTGTTTTTTGTTTTTTATTGTTGTCTTTTACAAAATATGCTGCCGGAACATTCGATTGACAATTTCACCATCGATCAATCGACCTGTGTCAGTGGCGTTTTTTGTCTATATTAAAAGTACTACGTCATCTAGTTATCTAAATCAAACAGCACACGGCACAACTTCAATTGCCATGACATTTGATTTTCCCATATTGCCCTTTTTATCAATTTCATAATGGCCGCTTGCTGACAATGTGGCGTACAGAGAAATTATTGTCCTAGGCTCACAATTTAGCCACAGCACCTTATGCTCCATAGAAAAAGAAACCCGTTTGTTAAAAGTCACATATTACTCATACGTCTCGTTGCCAAGACAAGTTAAGCAAAAACTACATCTGTTTGTTTTTATTACTCAATATCTTTGCAACGATGACACATGAGTTTATCACAGCAAAATTGTGGGAAAAAATCATGAATATATGCAGATCCAATGCGCGCAAGGGGGTGTGTCTAAGCATGTGACTTTCAAAGAAAAATTACCCAAAGCAGATGAAGTAAATTACAATATGAAAGAAGAGTCTTGAAAACAAAGAAATTTACATTTAAGTGAGGAATATGAGCCAAGAATGAAATTTAAGAAGCATATAGAGATAGAATTGTCGAAAATAAACAATTATAACTAGGAAGAATGAAGAATGAAGAAGAAAGAATAAATACTGAATAATTGCAGTGAGTAATTGTAATGAGATAATAACTGATAATGAGAATTATCATGAATAATAATAATAATTATAATTATCGTGAATAAAGAAAGTATTGATAATCATGATAATGACTATGCTAATATCAATTCTGTAATAAATATGATAATCAATTATTTAATAACAAATTAAGAGTTTTATTAATAATATTATTTACATTACAACTGATAGCAATGTTTATAAAAAAAGAAGCTAATAATAATAATCTACGCTCAACCCGCTTATGAGGATCGATGAACGTTAAGCATTTTGTTTTGCCGCAGCAAACAAAAAAGAAAAAGGAAAAAAGAAAAATAAAAGCAAAGCAAAACAATCAGCCATATCATAAACTCATTAAACTGCGCCCAGGTCTAATAATAGAATGCAAAATGCCAGAGCTGATAAGCCACAAGGGGCGAATCCAAGTGCCATCGCAGTGTCTGGCCATACGAAATGAAAGAATACCTAATTTAAAAGCCGAGCAAGCAATTTGCTGTTGTCAAATGGGAATTACTATTTTGTCGACTCGGAAATATGCGCAAATACACAGACATTCGACAGATCAGCTGTGCAAATTGCTGCCACATGCGGCTGCAGGAATTTCCTGAGTCTACACACACACACACACACACACACATGGCCGGGGCCTTTCGCTCTCTTGGGTCAGTGGACGCAAATTGCAATTTAACGAATCTTTACAAACTTGATTATTGTGAGAGCAATGCATATATAAAGACGGTCACGTGCCGCATACTTGATATGATATAATAGGTATGTATATGCGCGTGAATGGGTTCAATTGGGAAAGTAATTTCTATAGCATTTGCTCGGATTGCACGTCCAGTCCGTTGCCTTGTTGACAATCTAAGCAGAACTGTGCGAACCTTAGCATAAAATACTGAGCCATTAGCAGCGCCAGCGGCAAACGGTTAACCGTTTCAACTGATCTATATACATATATAAATGCACATATATACATATATCCTAAAAGAGAGAGAAATCGAGCGAGAGTTGCTCCAATGACGCGCTCGATCAGATAATTGAATTGAACTTGTTGGACTGAAACTGCGGAGCTAATTTTAATTAAATTATAGTTGATGTCGTGTGGCAAATGTGCAGATCACATGCTCGCGAATCTGGAGCTTTATCTAACGCATATAAGCATCATTAGCGTAGTTTATGGCTCCGATAAGATGTGACAATACCTGAATATGGATATAAGATGCTTTCAGCTCTACAGCCAATGAGACAGACGCGCGTTCTACGCTTTAGTGGTTATAAAACAGTTAGGCCCTAATGACACCGCTCATATAAACCAAACTCTACAAAATGTTCTTATCAGTCCATCCAGAAATTTCATCATATCGGTGTTAAGCCCTCGAATATCATTTAACGATAGGCGCCTGCCACAAAAAGTTAACAAGTTCTTTATGTACTTTAGCAACTAACATTGATATATTATTTAGACAGCCATCAAAGCGATCTATATAAAAGCTTTTTATTGTTGTTGTTGTTGTTGTTAGTGTAGCCTCTGAAACCTTTGCTACTGTTGTGAACTGCCACGGAAATTTCCCATGCATATTCTCTATATGAATAATTTAAATCAAGTACGAACTGCTTTAACAATATCATTCATTATTAGCATTAGAATTAAATTAACAACAACAACAATAATAATATAAAATGTGGCACATAATTCACATGCATGTATCTGAACCTATCTTTAATCTCTAATTAAAACTTAATGCGAAAAATTTCGCACGAACGGCAAATGCTTCATCTATCAGCTTATATAAAAATTCAAGCTTTTGTATAGATATATCTTTAAATTAAGCGTAAAGCAATTTTCTGGCGCTTAAAGAAGTATGCATAGAATTTCTGAGTAGCTTTCTATGAAATAAATAAATAAAAAGTTTTTTAAAATTTAAAATTAATTAAAATAAAGCTATTCCTAATTTATATATAATAGTCATGAAATTTTTATATCACATTATTTGCAATATTAAACTTTTATTTTAAAATTATAGACCCATAAAATTTTATCTTTCATTGCAAAGAATTAAAAGTATTTCAATTCATTCCAAGTATTAGGCGCTAAAATTTATTCAACTAACACAACTACTTATATTTAATGCACTTTTGTTAAATGACATTATTTTATTAATATAGGAGCTTACATGTGATTAATAGCAGCAATCTCTGCCCCTTCGTCGACGTCATTTTATTTCTAGTTTTATGAAAGCTCAACTGAGTATTTACTATATCTATTTAGAAATGTTCGTTCACAAATGTTTATTTATGTTTTACGCAAATAGTAATTGACTTTTGCGATATTTTTCGTTGTTATTTGTTGCTGGTAAAGTAAACCAACGTTTCCGCGTTCGCTTTTGCAAATAGAAATAAATAAATATCTCTCGGCAATTGGCGGCGCAATCAATAATAACAATTGTTTATGTCGATGTAAAATAAATCGTTTACTTTCAATTTGAAATTGAAATTGAAATCGAATTTGAATTTCAACACGCGCACAATTTACGTATGTATGTATGCAGGTATTAGCATCCAGCAAGAGCTTCGATTTCCCAACAAAATCATCCAAGTTCAGTGGCACTCGACGCGCTCGCAGAGACCCCGCGAGTTGATCTTTCTGGTTCTGGTTTCTGTTGTCGACTGAGCGCAGCTCGCTGGCGCTGTCTGTCGACTGGCTCCAGCTAGTATGGCTGCTCCCCTCTCTCCGCGCACACACACGCACACATACACGCCCCTCGCCGCTGGGCATGAATCACACCAACACAAAATCAACCGGTTGCCGCTCGATCGCAGAGCTTCAACTTATTTCTATTTTTTTTTTTTTTTTTTTTTTTTTTTTTGAAAAAAAACGTAATTTCAACAATTTGCGTATATATTTCTGTTATTGTAGCTTTTACTTAGCGTCACTTGGCTAATTGCAGTCACTGATCCACCCAAAAACAAGTGGCTAAGACCCACAACGTCAACAACAGCAACAACAACAGCAACTGCTGCAGCAACTGTCTCAGCCGGCAAAGGCAAGAGGCAACTGCAAAGCAATTGTCGAATGCACAGCGATTGCTTCTATACCTAACACACACACGCACACACAAACACATGCTCATTCATGTAATTTATAATTATATATCCCACCTTACATATACGTACCTCTACATATAGCAGATATATATATATATATATCGAATATACATATATATAGACATACATATATACCTACATACATACATATGTATGTACCTCCACATGCCCGCATTTACATTTCTCTTGTCGCATTAGTCGTTGTTTTCGCACAATTTCTTGCATTGTGTTTAAAAATAAAATTGCATTGCGCTGCGAATTTAGTAGCATTTGGGCAGGTATGTAGGCGTGGCCCTAAAACATAACGCCAGACATGCTAATTGGTATATTGTAAAACTAACAGAAATATTTGCACTGCAAACAACGCACTGTGAATGCCCTACAAAAAAATAGAATTAAATTTGCAAAATAATATAAGAATAAATAAAACTAAGCAAAAAATTTCTAAATATTCGTATGAAATTTTTTACAATTCACCTAAAATTGTATAAAATATTTAAATTAAAACTAAGTTCAGAGATCAAACAAAGTATAACATAATTATGACAAATTATATATATAAACCACATTGAACAATGCGCGTAACTACCCAATGCTTCAAAAGGTTATAAAAACAATAAATACAAGGATACACTTACCTCAGATATAAAAAAAAGTTTTTAATAATATAACCTAATAATATTCATATAGCCAAGACCTCAGAGCCTTAATCCCGTTATAGCACATCTTACAGCACCTATCATATATTTGATATGCCCCTCTCCACCGTTAAGAAAATCTCACGAATTTTACAAGTTTTCACGCCTTTGTCGTCTCTTGGAAACAATCAAGCCTTCCGCCGTCTGTCATTAGATAGATATATCATATTTATGGCTTGGAAACAGGTTTCTGCTTGTACTTCACATTGCTCTGCCGCAAACGATTTGATTCTCAATGTGGACATAGCTTAATTAGTGTCGGCCGGTAATTGCGTTCTAGGCGGGACAGAATTGTACTGCCATATATGTTACGATACGTTATCTCGCCACAGAATTCAGCCAGATAAAGCAAAACACAATTTACAATAATGATCTGATTGCCGATTTAAACAGACGATAATTAGTTCAAGTATATACCAATTGCCATAGCTCGTGTTGAGGTAGTTCCTCGCTAGACCTCAGCTTGACCGTTCCGTTAAAGAGTCGTGCATTGACTTCAGTTGAGACATTACAAATTGAAAACATACATATACAACTCTTTAAACTAAACACATTTGATTGATTCGCTTGGGGCTTTTCATAATTGATTCACTTCAACTGCCACCTGACGTTGAACTCTGTCAATGCCAATGTCCAGCTTTTCGACATTAACGTTTGCTTGTCATTGGCATTGAATAGATCTGAGAGTATTATCATAAATGGCTTGTGCCAATTAACCATTGGATAGTTGCCAAGCGCTACAGTAGTCAATAGAGTTCAAGTGTTGTTCGAAAGCTCTTAAGGCAATATTATTTATGTTTTTTAAAGAGCCGGCAGTCCACAGTGGAAACAAGGCAAGCAACACAAAAATTAAAAATATGAGTAAAGATTATACATACATACATATATAATATAAAATTGTGAATTAGAATTGACTAAGAACAATTGTCAGCATGAATTTAATAATTATAGTATAAAAACTTTCGCGATGCGCAATTAACCGAAATCAGAAATGCATTAAAAACAATTTGTAAGCCACTCTTGGCTGATTACAACTGGTTTTGGGCATAGTTGTTTTTTCTTTTGGTCAGCACGTAGTTGAGTCATCCGGTGTGTCGCTCTGTGTCACCAGGTGATGAAACCAGCAGCGACCAGTTGTTGAATAAGTGAGACAGTACATATACATACACATATATATATTTATACATATATAATGGTTGTTTCCCCTCCAACAATGAACCATTCAGTTTTAAACATTTAGTTGGTTTATTTATAGTTAATACGTATATGTGAGTGTGTTTGTTTTGTATGCTTTAAATTGACCGTTAGCGGTTACATATTTCGAGTATTGAGTACTGTATCTTAAATAATACAATATCGCTTATAGATTTGCTTAAACAATTGACGACCAAGGCCTGCAATAACATAATTGATGTCTTTCTCCTTACATTTGCGTACAAGCGTGTATATATAGGTAAACATTGCATGTGTATATGATACAGGTACAACTAGATGGAATGCCGCTAACTTCTTGTATTTAACATTTGCAGCTATTACATACATACATACATTTATAGATATATATTTATATCATATTGATTGAACATCATTGAATAATACTTATGTTACAATTAGTTCAATGGAATATTCAAATTTGCGCTAACTAGTTTACTTTGTAGTTTAGCTTACAGTTAATACAATTGCATTACTAATTGATTCGAGATTTCATTAGTGTTCCAGATACATACGACATTGGTTGCATTTGTGAAGTGAAATACAGAATTTGGTATTAAAACAAATTTAAAATAAACAAAACATGATTATGAATATGAATTACTATTAATAGAAATAAAAACAAATATTTATATATACATATAAAATATTAAAATAATAATAATACTAAAACAGATAAATCTCATATTTTCAAATTGAGTTGCCGTAGTTGGTTGTACTTGATTAGTATAGCTTGCTTGAACACATTTACCGAATATCTTAATTATGGCTAATTCTAATTCAGAGAACATCAAATCAGCCCTAACACTAGAACAAATGTGCATATATACATTGCAGATATCTCTCTGCTAATTGCCTAGGATGTGTACTTACAATTACTTCCTTGTAATTGAACAAATACCTAATTAGGAATGGAACTGTTACAACAATTGTTCTGCAATAAATGTGAGTTCGAGTTTGGAGTTTGAAGTTTGGCGCCAACAACTACTGATTCCTATCTGCCTGGCACAAAAACGGGAGCAATCAGCTTAATGCACTATAGGCATCTCTTATCTATCGGGGAACAGTGATTCGTAGCTGGGCGGCAGATCTTTGGGTGTGGCCGGCTGTTGCTGCTGCTGATAACGGCCCTGCGACACTGGTGACATATCCTGGGTCAGCACACCATCGTACGAAGTTGCCGTGGGCAGCTCTATGGTGGGCACATCGGACTGAAGGTATTACGACATTATTTTTTATGAGTATATGTGATCGTTTGCAAATATCTACTTTGTACTTACCCGGTTACGTCGTTGATTGAAGCGTGCTGCAGATGCTTCGTGGGCGTGCTGCTGCACTGTAATGCAGTTCCAGTATTTCCAACAGATCCACACACAAAATCCTACGCCCACCATGGTAAAGATGAGCGATGTAATTGCCGAAAGGGCCACATTTGTTGTGTCCATTTCTTCAGGCGGAATAGCATCGTGAAAGCAGGTGCCCTCATCCCGGCATGGATACATGCAGTTTGTTATATTGTCTTGAACAAAATGACGCGATATGCAGGAGTATTTATCCTTTGGATTGCACAGAATATCGCCAGCAAACTGACACTCGGAGTGCGCCGTCAGGACCATGTGTAGCTCAAGTGGCTCTGCCAATATATGCCGATCCCGATTGATAAATATGTGAACATGTGCGTCACGATCACGCTGATCGAACATTAAACGGCCAGCGGGACCATTGATGGAAATGTCGCTGCAAATCCGTTCGCTGGGTGATCGATTGCCGCTACTAAACTGTATATAGTCTATACATTTCTTGGTCACCGGATCACTGCGCAGCTTTAACCGTGTGATGATCGTGAAAATGCCACGCGGTGGACGCTCATTGGTCTGAACCCGGAACTGGCAATCATACTTGATTTTATTAACCGAATGCCCTCCACTGGGCAGAGTTACATTCCAGGTTTGAGTTATAATTGCAGCGGAATCGTGCTCATCGGTTAACCGTAGCATTGGATCGCCGCGAAAAGCCTTGGACAACGTATAGATTAGCTTGTCCGAGCACAAATTATCCTGCAGACGAACTATTTTATAGCCATTAATTGCATCTGGTGCATAGAACGCAATTGCAAGCGTCAATTTGAATAGCGACCATATTGAGCATTTAATCATTTTGTTAAAATCACGACCAGCACGAGAGCGTCGGTGCAATGTAAATATTTGTGCGACACGTCCTGCGTGTGTGCTATATTTTAATTACTATAAATGTAGACATGCACGTTCGTTTGTTTTATAAAGTTTTACTGAAATATTCCCCAAACTTTTATTGTTTTGCATCCGTGCCAGGGCTGAATAACTACCAAGGCTACCGAGGGCTGCACGCTAATATTGCATTCATAGATTTATCGGTGCATTTATATAGTGATAATTATTCTTCACAGAATGCATTAACAGAGAGCAGAGAATATCGATAAATAGCAAGAAGCAACAGCTGTTCACAAACATGCGGAACAATTTTGCTTAAAGAGCAATTTGTTCTAATTAGATTAAGTTATGGTCATATTGGTTAAAGTTAAATAATTATTCATCTGTTTTAATAGATTTCTTGTATGTTTATGTCATTATTATTATATTCACAATAAAATTCGAAAAGCATGTGAAACCGCGCTTGCACCATTACAGCAAATGTTAAGATTTTAGGATGGCCACATATTTTAACATTATATTACTAACCACACACAACACGAGTGTGGAAAACTTATTTATATATATTTATTTCTAACTATTTAGACGCCGGCAACTTTTGAAGACGTAAACATCTAAGCAGCATCATAACAGAGAATCACCAAGGATGCTCGTGCTGTGCGCCGTTGCTGTCATTACCTTATAATATGCCTAATCGTTTGGCTTTTTAACGTCTCGCGAAAAATCCTGCTGAGCTATTTCTAGTCCAACAACCTCAACGCCACGGCAAAGGCGAACGCAAATTCAATGGCCACATCGGACTTTGTACTGGGCGGCCTGGCCTCCGTGGGTGCCACCTTTTTCACAAACCCGATCGAGGTGGTCAAGACGCGCATCCAACTGCAGGGCGAGCTGGCAGCACGCGGCTCTTACGTGGAGCCCTATAAAGGAATCGTGCAGGCCTTTATCACAGTGGCTAAAAATGATGGAATTATGGGTCTGCAGAAGGGTCTTGCGCCCGCCCTCTACTTTCAATTCATTATAAACTCTTTCCGGTGAGTGAATTGACATTGATTTGTGAGATAATTGACTCCATCAATTTGCTATTTCATCCCACTAGGTTAAGCATTTACACAAACGCAATGGAGAATCATTGGATGCACAAGAAAAATGGCGAGGTTTCCTTTAGCTTGGGCCTGATGTGGGGCGCAATTGGCGGCATTGTTGGCTCCTATTTTTCTAGTCCATTTTTCATGGTGAGAGCGCGTGGCTGGCTATTACATAAAGGCATGACCATATATAGGCAGACATATTGACGAAACTTATCTATGTTTTCGTTGATTGTTGCACTAATTTGAATGTCTGGACAAATAGATGGCGGAATCCGCACAGATAAGACTGACATCTAATCTTTCTTTACTTTTTACAATGTAGATCAAGACGCAATTACAATCGCAGGCAGCGAAGGAGATCGCCGTTGGCCACCAGCATGCACACAAGTCCATGAGCGGTGCCCTCAAAGAGATCTACAGCAAAGGAGGCATAGTTGGATTGTGGCGTGGATCCTTGTCTGCCCTGCCCAGAGCTGCCGTCGGCTCTGGTGCACAGATCGCAACATTTGGCAAGACGAAATCATTGTTGATCGAATACGATTTGGTTCACCAGCCAACGTTGAATTCCTTTTGCTCGGGCCTAATTGCCGGTTCACTAATGTCCGTGGCTATAACGCCGCCCGATGTGATTAGTACGCGTCTCTATAACCAGGGCCTTGATGCCCAGGGGCGTGGCCTCTACTATAAGGGCTGGCTGGATTGCTTTGTGAAGATCTTGCGCACCGAAGGCATCTATGGTATGTATAAGGGCTTTTGGGCCAATTATCTACGTATCGCTCCACACTCAACGTTAGTGCTGTTGTTCTTCGATGAGTTGATTGCCGTACGTGAAAAGTACAAACCTGGAGATGGTTCTTCCTGATTGTGCTAGTCCTTATCTTTGTGTAACGTTAAGTACAAATGTGTATAATTGTTTTGCTAGTAATTTGTTGAAGACAAAATGAAAGTGAATCGCCAAAGATCAAGTCCTCCATTCCCAGTTCCAAACTCCTGCTAACTAAGGCTATCTATCAATATTGCCGCAATTGTGCCTTATTGCTTGACTTAATTTTTAAAACTTAAAAATGAGATCAATTTATATTTTTTAAAACTGTTATCCTCACATGTAGTAAGCTAAAAGTATCCTGTTAGTAAGTAGCCGTAACTGTAACTGTGCAATACTTTTATTAAATAAAGATCGTTATTTTGTTTACATATGCATTTTTTTTTCAAAAATGTTAATTCACTTCAATAAAATATTTTCAAATAAATATATCTGTTATATTTTCCAATTAGAACAATTTTAAAATTTGCTCAAATTTGCGTCACCTTATGTTGGCTGCGGCTCTATGAGGCGGCCAGTCGATTGCTGCAACTCCAAAGACTGGGTGAATCGAGAAGCTGAAACATCGGTGATGAAACTAGCTGGCGACGCACATTCAATCAATTAGTTGCTGAAATTAACTGTTACAAAATGAGCTCACAACTGACCCAGTTACCCCAAATGTTTGAGAATTACAAGGAGACGATGCGAAAGTCGCTACGTGACCCTAACAAGCCGTGGACCAAAGCGTTTGACATTTTAGAGGAGCGCACTTCAGTCGATAGAGTGAATCTATTTTCCGGTAAGTCCTGTCTCCAGCTAAACTCAAAATCGTTCACAGTGGGACAAAAGGACTTGGCCATGACGCATTGTCCCCCCGGCCATACTGCACCAAATACGTGGCTACGCAACGTGACTAAGTGGAATTTTTTTTTTAAATTTATAAATAGAAACCGCAACCTGTTATAATGCACTCAAGCAGTCAGGCAGGCATCACATGCGGCGCCAAAATAGGCACATTCGTTATACTAGCAAAGCAGGCTGGGATTACTTAGGGAATTGCATACTTTTTACAGCTCCACACAAACACAACACATACACTCCTCTCATTTTCTCTCTCTATCTCTCATATGTGAAGTCTGCATACGTGTAAGAGTGTGTGCGTGTGTATATATTTTTCCATAAACTTTGTGTCTTTCTTTTGTTTACTTCACGCACAGCTGTCTGCAGTAACGTACTTTCTATCTATTGTGGCGCACGTTCAACAACCGTTTTTTTCGCTATAATTGAAAAACGATTATTTTATAATTAAAATCTAAACAGAGGTCAAGCTCAGCTTAGACTTTGGCCGGGTTTTGTGCTGTCGTGGCGCTTTTGCACACGTGTATAACGACCAGGTGTAGACGCATGCAGGCATACATATATGTGTATGATTGTATGTGTGTGTGTTTGTGTAAATATATGCATATGTGTAATATATAAGTGCTAACGCAAATTATGTAAAGGCCCTAAATGTGGCTTTGGGATTATATTATGGCAATAAAACATCGCCAAGAAGTGCGACGAAAGGTTCGCGTGCCTCTGGTCTACATTGGTTCAGGTGAGTCGCCGCCCGATGCGTAACTAGATTGTGCCTGCCCGTATATGACTGTGTGCGTGAGTAAGCGAGTGTTTGTGTTCGCCGCCTGTGCTTCGTCTGTCAACACATTTTATATTTATGTATGTATGAGTAGCGCAGTATAACAGTCGCGAGTTTCATGAGTTAAGGCTGTGACGTCAGTAACGATAATATAAAAACAAATTATAGAAATTAGCTGTGAACGCCACTAGGAAATATACAAGTGCATCCGCTCGAGTGGGCACTGAATACAACACTGACCGCTGGGCTTTTGGGTTCAATTCGTCTGCAGCGGCACAAAGCATTTCGAATTTATAGGCGCGCGTATGGCTAGACATCAAGTGCGAATATGACAAGAGCTGAAAGGTTAATAATAGCCACACAGATGCGAACCGCTGCAGCGAATTACGAGCGAGCAAAGGGCAATTGTGTTTTTTACATCCAACCCAGAGCACAGGCAGGAGATAGAGATCGGCCATAAATCATGGCTTTCGAGGCATTGGAGTCGAAACTAATTGAGATTTTCAAGGAAAATCCAGTTTTGCGGATTGGTAGACGAGCAAAGCGTTAAATTTGATCTACATATATTAAATGGATATTAACCTTTTGAATTGCATTTTCAGGTGCTGTCGCAGCGTGTGCTGCTTATTTGATATTCGGCTGCGGTGCCCAGCTCTTGTGCAACATCATTGGCGTACTATATCCGGCATATGTGTCCATTCATGCCATCGAGTCGAGCACCAAACAGGACGATACCAAGTGGCTCATCTACTGGGTCACCTTTGGCATCTTCACTGTCATTGAGTTCTTCTCCCATATCCTAACTAACATTATTCCGCTCTATTGGCTGTTGAAGGTGAGTCGCAAGTTCTTGAACTAAAATTTAAATATTTACTTGAATCTCTTTAATCTATTCTCCAGTGTGGCTTCCTCATCTGGTGCATGCTGCCCGTGGAAAACAATGGTTCTGTTATCATTTACAATAAGTTGGTGCGCCCATATTTCCTGAAGCATCATGCTTGTAAGTTACACACACCAATGATCTCCAAGAGATTAAATATTAATGCGGTAATCCTCTTTTTCAGCTGTTGACAAAATCATCGATGATGGTATCAGGAAGGCTGGCAATGTGCTTAAGAAAGATTAGAGACGCTATTACGTTTTTTGTTCACTTCCTTAAGCATTTTCGTAGCGTCCGCCTTCAGGAAGGGCCCGTCACGCCAGTTTATATCATATTAGACCGCGATGATTGTATGCACAGTTAAATTGCACTTGGTTTTGAAAACCCCTCATTTGATGATTCGCATTAGATGTGTTTGTAATGAAATCTCGGCTTGTTAAACATAAATTTCAAAAAGATAAACAACTATTTATTATGAAGTTTAATGTATGTATGTCTAAATAATGCACAACTATGCCGTCTCGGCGGGCTTGACGGCTTCGGCTGCAGCCGCCTCTGCTGCTGCTTTGCGATTGCGCCATGCGGTCATATAGGTGTGAGGGTGGACGGGGAGTAGACCGGCGATTCCCAGCAGCTCGGCTACCGGGTCAGACATGTGAGCACCTTTGCCTAGCCAGTACCGTATACGTTCTGTATTTAGGGCCACCAGACGTTCATTTGTCACATTTGGCAGCGGATCATAGGAGCCCACTTGCTCAATGACAGGCTGGTGTTGATTCTTACGACGCTGTAAATAAACTTTCATCACAATCAAGAGAATATGTTGTTAAAATTTGAGCTCAGACCTCCATTACAACTATATGAAAGAATGGGCGATTCGTACAGCCGTGGCGTGCAAATCGTATTATCTTCGCCGAATGTTTGTAGAAGCGACCAATGCCACTAGCAGGCGATAAGGACATTTTAAGGTTTATTCAAAACTTTACTTAACAAGAAAATGTGTTATGAAAACAGTATACAATTATGGCACGTCGATTACGATTTATCGGTTATCGAAATATCTAATAATATGAACAAAATCGAATAAACCGCAATAAATTCAATAGACGATTGCGACCAGCATAATTTATGACAGGACTTATTCAAAGGACCAAAAAGATGTGCTAAAAAATGACATTGTTAAATTTTAAACACTTTACTCATGCAACTCTGTGTGCCGACCAATTTGTGTACACACTGGTCGCTCACACAAAATGGCGTCAGCAGTCGAACACGAACACGAACACTAAGGAATTTTTCAGTGGTGTCTGTGTCTGTGAATTAATATTGGGGGTAAAAAAAACTGTGTGCGTTTATTTTGTTTATAAATTTAATTGCAAATACGGCACATAAATACACAGCGTGTACACACACACCTACACATACGAATTCAAAAGTGCGCTTATCAATGAATTGAATTGAATTTGAGGCAGCAGCAGCAGCAAGAAGCACGCCAACGCCAACGAAGTGAATTTTTCGAGGGAACGGAAAAAAATGGCGCCCGCCTCAGCCACAGAAGCAAGTTGACTTTCTTTTCGGTGTGTGTAGTTCGTCGCCGTACTCGTTGTTCGTTTTCGTCGCATATTTGTCGCGATCAAAAATAGTGAAAAAAAGAAGATATTGCAAATTGCATTCAAAACGCGACGTTGACGTACAGCAGGAGGCTAGTATTTTGTACGTGATTTTGTATAACTACATACATATACATATAATACAAATACAAGCAACAGAAAAGTGCAATTACATTTGCGTTTGGAAATTTTGCGCTTTTTTCTCTTTCGCCTCCCCCTTTTTCTGCTTTGCTTCATTTATAATGTGCGCTGCACAGAGCAATCCGCCGCCCTTCGGCTATACTTGGGGTTTTGCAGACAACGGCAACCGTGCCGCAGAATCAGTTTTGGAGATATCGCCAAATATTAACTACACTGTCAGTGGGGAATCGGTAAGTGAAGTCTCAATTTGTATGTATACTTCGAATTCCCTTCGTTGCATATTATCAAATATGTTTCTATAATTTTTTTCATTGTTTTTTTTCTTTTTTTTTTTTAATATCGAATGCGAGTGCTTTTGCAAATGCAGACTGCTAAATAACCAATCGACCCAACGAGCTAGCTAGCCAACTACCCCCCGCCACCCACGTAATAAATGTTTCTGTTGCTTTCCCACAGCGAATCGTGTTGTGTCTTCTCTTCTTACCCCCCTTTGTACGTTCCTGTTGCCCCAACAACAGCGCCACATACACACAGGCATATTGGCTAGAGATGGCCTTATGATTTTGTCTTCTCGCACGAATAAGTTGAATTCTTAGATATCTGTAGTATAATTAAACTGACACTAGATAAAATAACAATTATGTTCCGAAATATGCTTATTCATCTCAATTTTACATATATATATGTATCTGTATAATTTTATAAAATAATTGAAATAATTTTCAAGTAATACAGCCCTAATCGGTATTTGTCTGATAAGTTTAAATATCACGCTCACATCCCTAATACAGATACAGCTACGTCGTCCGCTCGCTCGCTCACTCGTTGGTTTTAGACTCTGTATGTATAAGTGCATCAGCCATATATACGTGTATATGCGTATGCAGGGTTGTGCGCGTGTATGTATACACGTACGATATACATACATACGTGGAGGCTCAAATACAAGAAAAAAACCAGCACATATACTTTTATGTAACTGCGTTGGTCATGCGAATGCGAGCGAGTGTGTTAGAATTCTTTTACCATACATTTATACGAAATTTTTTCGTTTCCATTTCATTCGTAAACATTCATAATTTGGTATTTGTAAAAAGTATGCGTAAGTATGTACATACATACATAGCATACGTATGCATGTAGATTTTGTGTGTATGCAAACAAACAATGATACGCACGTTGTACTGCACACGCGGTGGCAGCTGATTGCAATACATTTCCCACTCTCATGATATTAGGAATTGAATTAAACATGTGGCTTAATTATTTAACATGTGGTGGGGGAAGCCTAGAGTAGTATGGCGTTCGCAAAAGCAATCGAATATAATCGATATTTACATATAAATACAATTTTCTACTCATCTAATTTTAAATAAATTTTATTGCATATTGGTTTTTAATCATGAATTTTATTTGTTGCGTTTCTGTTCATTTTGTGCGTTCATTTTGTTTTTGTACAACGATTTTCTTATACAATTGGCAGTACCTTTTTTTCTTTAGCATGAGAGTGCAACCCTATTTCGCTGCGTTTCTGCCTGCCTCTTTTGCGCACGTTTGTGAATACACACACACACTCGCAGATAGTGTTTCGTTGTGTTTGAATTCGCCGCGTTGTGCTGTGCTGGCGACCATTTTGTGTGCATGTGTGCGGCAGTCGTCAATTCGCCGTTCGTTGAATATTCAACACTAACACATTCTCAGCGCACGCATACCAAAAACGACGCTCTCTCACGTACGCATACACACCCAGTTCGGCACATGAGTGTGCGTGCGGTGCGTGCGTGTGTTTTGATTACACTTGCTTACGTTTTGGCGCTCAACAAACTGTCAAAAGTCCAATTGCACACACACTCACACTCGCACACACACAGCAACACATACATATAGCTCGAGCGCAGTGGAAAAAGCGCGCGCTTTGCTGTCGCTGTTTGTCTGCTCCTCTTGTTCTTCTGCTGCCGCTGCTGCCATCTCCGACGCCGCTGTCGCCGCCGCCACCGCTGCTTGCTTTCCTTTCATTTGGTATTGTGCTATTTTTTTTTATCAACTGTTGCTGCGCTGTGCCGTAGCGCAGCGCTGCGCAGGTGTAGCGTGTTATTAAGACAAAATGAACAACAAAACAACAAAGCGCAACAATAAATACAAAATACTACCATAAATCGATTGCAGTGGCAACTGTACCTTCTACTAATCATTAGCATAGAATTAGATTAATTAACCTAACCCAAAATCTATGTATATTGGATTAATGAATGTGTTATGCAACGACCAAGCGACCAGTGTTGAGCAACGCTGAAAGCACTTGCACTTGCATTTCCTGTAATCTGTTCGGTTTTTGGGGACAATTCAATCAATCAATCAAAGCAAACAAACAAACTAACAACAGACATGAACAACAACCAACAATCAAAATACCAAAATCAAAACAATCAAATCGAATCAACTTAAATGCTATAGAAACAAACAAAATAACATCATCATTCATCCGTTATGTGGAGAGTTGTTGGTGCATCCATAAATCCACAAATCCACAAATAGCCAGCTGTCGCCAGTTATACTGACAAAAACAATGTGTACACACCCATTTTAGATGCCCTATCTGTTATCCACGGATGGATCATTGGCCGTACAAAAGGATGTTAAAGGTGCACTCACCAGCAATAAGGGCAATGTCGTTCGTCGCATGTTCGTGGTGAACGATTCCTCGTTTGCGCCCGGAACACAAAGGTGCGTTTTCAAAGACAAGCAAAACAATAAATATGATATAAAACAAATCATAAAAAAATAAACAAACAAAAATTTAAAAGATATAAATTATATCTAGAACAAGATAAAAAAAGCCTTTACTAAGCCTCGTTTTTTTCTCGGCTGCTTCGATGCGCTCTCTTTCTCTCTTCCCACTCTTTCTCTCTCTCTCTATTTCTATATCTATCCATCCACAGAGTAATTACCACAGGCGCCGCATCGACGGTGGTCAAAAAACAGGACTCTGGTCAACAGGTGTTGAGCATAAATTCGCTCGATAAGAACTGTAAGTGGCTGTCGTTAAAATCAGTATAAGAATCTGTTTGAGAAATCAAATAAATTAGTGTTGCACGCGTTGTTGATGTGTTGTAATCGATTTGTAAATATCGATGATTGCTAGGGGTTTCGCTAATCGATTGTTCTCTCTCTATTTGTACACTTCTCTTTGCTACTTTCCGCTCGCTCGCTGTAACCAACTTCCACCGAATGTAATATCCACTTTCTCGATCTCTGTCTGTCTCTCTCTCTCTCTCTCTTTCTCTCTGTTGTCGCTGTGTTTGCTCTCGTATTGCTGTCACGCACTACCAACACCAACACCAATACCCAATCCACCCACTCATGCTCCCCTCCCCACTCACACTTTCCACATACACTGTCATTCACCTACTCTCACTCGTCATAAAAATACACACGGCGGCGGCGGCGGGCGGCGGGCTGTGGCGTATTAGATCTTTTGGTCGATCAGGCAACAGCGGCAGCAGCTGCGGCTGCGGCAGCAGGTGGAGGTGATCCGGCGAATGCTGCACACCATCATGCATTGACAAATGGCAGCATTGTTGACACAAAAACTGGACAAACGGTATTAACCACATCGAGTGCCGCCGCTGCGGCCAAGTCGCATTTTGGCTCAATTGGAGCATTGCATCTCACCCAAGAGGAGTGCAATGAGATCCTAATCAAGCGCGCCATTGCAGCCGGCCACGGCCACCACCAGACGCACACACTCACCGCTGGCGACGGAGCCCACCACCATCATCATTCGACGGCGCCGGGCGCGACACCAAGTAAGCATCTCAAATCTGTGTTGTGTTCGACTATCTCCTCCTTCTCCTCCAAAACGCTCCTACTGCTACAACACTCTCTGTCTCTGTCTGACTCTCTCTGGCACTGGTACTGGTATTCGGTATTCTCGTTGCTTACTACCTGTTGCGTCGTTACGTCGTTGCGTTACGCAACGTGACGTCACGTTGCGCTGCGTTACGTTGCGTTGCGTCGCATTGCATTGCATTGCTGCTTACCGTAATTGTTAGCGGTTGAAAATTCGAAAATTTGTTATTAGATTTCGTTTTTATGTTTTTAATTTTTCTAAAAATATATAGAACAAAAATATATATTTATTTAAAATTCTTGAGTTCTATTCTATTTTGTTTTTCTTTTTTTTTTTTCTTTTGTTTCTCTTTGTTTTGTTCTGTTGAGTTTGTGTTTGGTTCGCACTTTTGATTTTCTTTCTTTGTTTTCTTCTCTTTTATTTTTGATATATCTTCCTTTGAATTCCATTTGGTTATTGTTCCGTTGGCGGTGCAACAACACTCTTAGGTGAC